AGTCCCAAAACCTTGGTTATGTTTTTAAGTCTTGATCTGCATTTTGTGCATCCACACAAATAAATAGTATCAAATGTATCACAGAAGGAGAAGCATTGCATCCCCTGGTTGTTGTACTCTCCAGTAGCATCTGAAAATAGAAAGGCATTCATTAACTGTGTGGGATGCCTATTGTTTAAAAGAATGAGAACAGAAGCCATTTAGTCTTAAACATTACGGTCTCAGATCTGCATTCATAAAAGTGGCTCCATCCTGTTTTCAGCAATTGTTCTGTTGCCTTTGTTGTTTCTTATCAGGGAGGGGGAGGTTGCCAGTGTGAGTCCTGCTGTTTTACCCTTCATCCTTGTGTTGTTGCTCAAACTGGGAGTAAATAACTTCTTCATCATTCTCGTCATCTTTTGGTTAGGAGCTTTGTCTTTCTGTGACATTGCTTGGAACAAATCTGGTGCACAAAAATCTATTTTTGTGTACATTAAAAGCAAATTCATAGTTTTATTATTATTACTTTGTCTGAAAAAAAAAAGAGCTTAAGGTTTAAAATGTTGCACTGTTAACAGCAAGTCATATAGCACAACCAATAAAATGTGAGAAAATGATCCCAAAATATTTAATTAACCAACTGGTCAATTGAATGTGAAAGGACTGCAAGTGGGGTGTTAAACTCACTTTAAGATACAATTTATTTATTAATTAATTAATTAAACTCTGGATGCAAGGAACATGGATTTTGAAGATAATTAGTCAGATTCGTAAGATTACTTAAGACCATAAACTACAGCAGAGAAGTGTTCTCCTCCTTGAGCTTCCCTTTTGTAGAAAATAGCTTTTATACCCTCTAATTTTTTCCTGACACATTTTGTTAACGGCTGTATTCTTTTAAAGGGATTTGTAATAGGACTGCTTACAAGTCCATTTGTTGCTTTTACATTGGATTCAGAGGAGTGAGATTTGAATATGGCTAGTATTTCATTTTTAATTTGCATCTCAAAATCTGGCTGCTAAAAGCTAGAGAACGAAAGTTTTCAATGTCATTACAACCCTAAAGCAATGCATTTTAAAACAACTTGATTAAGTTCAATATACTATATTGTATTGCATCACAATATTTTTGTGGTTTTACGTCAAAGAAAAGTCTATATTCTGCTGTTGATTTTTATTGAACTCTTTCATGTTCTAGTGTATGTCCATGTGTTGTTCACTGCCAACATCCTTACATTGCTTCTGCTTTGCGTGTTGTGGAACTCTTCTTGATGTCTGTCTTTCAGCATTTTTTCCACCACACCACTGCGACGCCACACATCAAACACAGTCTTGCCATGCTGGTACCCCACCTCCTTTAAAAAAAAAAAAAAAAAAAAAAAAAAAAAATCACACAAACATATTCAGATATCAGTACCATTTTCTATTTGCCAAAAAAGTTATTTTTAAAAGTTGGTCTAGTGTGTCAGATAATGAATAACCTTTGTCTTACAACATCTGAAAGTTTCAATACTTGTTCATGATCAGGGGTAAAAGACTTCAGATGAAAAAAATTTCTGAAACTTACAGCAATTTCATCAAACTTGCCAAACTCTAGTGTACGGTATCTGTCGATTGGAGGTCTGATATACTCGCAGTAATCGCTGCTCTTCACAGACTCCAACTGTCTCACACAGCACACATAGGCCAGCCGAGTCTGAATCTCTGCCATGTTTAGCACCTGTTGAAATTAACTTATAAATCACTGAAATGATTTCCAAAAATATCCTTATTTTTATTGATAGAATTAAAAACATTGCTGCACAGCATGGTGTGTCTTTACTCCTAATCAATCCATCACCTTAACTTTCTCAGCTAGGGGGTTAAGGCGTTTCCATAGCAGCCACCAGCCCGAGAGTGAGTCGCCATAATTAGTGAGATTGGTTTCATCCCGGCTGCCCACATCAATAGCTATTACCACTTTGGCCCCCATGGAGCGCGCAACATCAGCTGGGAGAATCAGGGGAAGAAGACATCAAGACAAACAGCATACAGTACTGGTAAAATTAAAAATATATTGCTATAAGCAAACAGCTGAGTAACTACATCAAAGTACGGCAACTTTTAATACTTAATAAGGGAAAGTACAAACTGAATGTAACAAACCAGGCAGGTTGTTAATATAGCCTCCATCCATCAGCAGGTGTCCATCTTTCGGGTCACACAGAGGAGGGAGATATCCCGATAGAGACATGCTAGCACGGACATACCGCCATAGAGAACCTCAAATAACAAACAAGCAACTTAAACTTACTTAAAAGGCATATAGCCCAACTGCAAGCAACCAATCTGAATCAACCGAAAATTAATCAGAGACTATTAAAAAGAGTCAGTTCATCTATGACCACAAAAAACACAATTCAGAAAACTCAAGACCAGAATGATTCTTTCAAAATAAATAAACTGAACACTGTATTTACCATCAGTGTGTACTCTCATGGCAGAGGCAGTGATGTCAGTTGTGATATTGAAATATGGGATCCAAAGGTCCTACATGACACAGAATTTACACTGGCCTCAGATCAGTATTCCAACAGCTGGGTCACACCTACTGTCATTTAGCTCACCTCAATCTGTTTGCTTTTGAAGACGTTGTTTATGCCAGAGTTGAAGGAAGCACCAGAAAACATGGATGTGATTGGATATGTCAAATCCAAGACCTTCCTAAATACTGAAGTCATTTCCTACAGGAAAAGCCAAAAGAGTCAAATTAAAACGAGGTTCAAATAAATGTTTCCCACCTCTAAGCAACTCAAGATCTACTTGCTTAAGTGCAAAGCAGAATTAATCCCTAAAAGTTTAACTTCATTTTAATACAATTCTCACCTTATACCCAGCACTGCAAAAGAAAAAACAACACACACACACTTAATTTTTGTCATATTTTGTCTGACAAGTGTGTACATTTCTCATTCATTTGAACAATATTGACTATGCAGTTTTGCTTCCTGTGACATCTTAATTTTCATCATTTGCGTCTGCTAAGAACAAACTTATTTTGAACCTTCTGTAGGCAAGAACGCAGCCAGAGGAGGACAGGCCATATACAACGTGGAAAACCAAAACCTACCAAATGCTCTGCCTGCAGACTTGAGACAGAGCAGGTGTCTCAAATCAGCTTTAATGGATATGTTCCAACAAAGTTACATTTTTTACAGTATTAACATGTCCATATGAATTTGTTTTTCTTAAAACGTGCTAGAAGTAGGGCTGTGCCATATCATAGCATCCAAAATACCGGTATCAATACCGGTAACAAGCCCTGCTAGTTGTCAATACTGTGTCACGAGTATTACACTATAAAGCTACTTCTGGCATCTTGCCTCAATGCCTTCAAAATACTGCAAAACTAATTTTGACGCCACACCCTTGGTCAATTTGTTCACTCCAGCTTGTAAGCTAAAATGCTCATCTGTAACATTACCTGCATGTTTAACTTTCATGTCTTCTAGCTAAGATTTAAGATGTAACACATCAACACTGTCAACTTGTGAGGTGGGGCTAACTTTTAGAGCAGAACATCCAGGACAGTGATGTCAAATTCACTTTGATCTTAGCAGGCTGGACCAGTGAAACATGATAAATGTGTTAAGTTAAAGAAAAAGTTACGATAGTTCATTAGACAGGCAGTCCTGTAATTATAAAATATAAAGTTTTGTTAATTTACTGTGGGCTCACTAATAGTTGAAAATTTACTTTCCTGTCATTTAACTGTTTATCTGTTAGTTAATTACTTTGATGGATGGGTAGTCTTTATCAATAGGAAAACTTATGAAATTATAGTGGACTTGTTCTGGCCCCCGGGACTTATGTTACCTAGGGTTACCTAACATGGCACAGTTTCAGAGTACTCCATTTCCTTGTTGATCACTGTGATAACTCTTTACATTACTGTGTCTTTTCCACATGCAGTAAGAGAACATGAGAATGAGCGGGGCTTGCAAACACAGATCAATGCATACTAAATAGGGATACAGCTGAAGTGTTACATCTAAGGCTACGTCCACACTAGCCCGGATAGATTTGAAAACGGTGTTTTTGTCTGAAAACGCTCCGCGTCCACACTAGTGTTTTCAGTCGTTTTCACAGAGTTCTGCATCCACATTGAAACGCAAGAAGATTCAGCCTGTCTCATTTCTGTCTGCCGTTTATTTATTTTCCGGCTCTTTGAAACGTCATGGCAAAATGTCGAGGAAAAGCACCGAGTTTTTTTTAAATGGACTAACAATGAGGTGGAGTTGTTACTGCGAGTAACACAAAAGTACAAAGTTGCAAAAGCGAGTGAGAATTAAAGAATTTGAAGAAAAGCAATCTGAAGCATGTACAAACTGATATTAATCTTAATAGGGCTGTCAAAATTAAGCGCAAACAAAACAACTGCTGTATAATGCCCTCCGCTATCTTTGTTTAATTAGTCACATGACTAACATGCATTATCGTTTTCGAAAGTCTCCATTTTCGCTGTCCACACTGCAACGCATAAGCACAGTCTTCAAATGTATGCGTTTTCGAGAGCGTTTTGAAAACGCTGCATTTACTTTCGGTGCCGTCTCAGTGTAGACGGGAGGCCAAAACGGAGAGAAAACGATGCATGTACGTAGGCCAAGCCATTCTAAGGCAGAGAGCCACTCAATGCAGGAAAAGGACTTGTACGTGATATGAAATGGTGGTTAATGTGCTCAGCATGGTTTATCAGATTAAAAGCAGGACTGAGATGTAAATTGGATTAGACTTAAATCATTTCAGGAAGAAAGTCTCACACCCATGTATAACTAACCCAGTTTAAGGCAAGATTAAAACATGCTCTAGATTGTTATCATTAAAAGTTTGACACTGATCAAATTCAAGACTTCTCTGCTCAATGTCATTCCAGGAAACCATACCTCCATTTTATCATTTATTTTTTAAGCAACATTAGAAGAGGGAAAAGAAAAAAAAACAAAAACCCAAAACAATTATACTGTGGTTGAACTGAGAGTTCTGGTAACTGCCTCAGAAGTGACTTTTAAAGAAAGAATAAGACAACTTCTGAATAGTTTATGGAAAACAAAGCAAAGCAGATGTCAGTGCATTCAGAAAGATTTAGATCTGAAATACTACAGTAATTGCCACTTTGACTCTTACCATAGCCCATTCTCTAGCTCTTATCCTCAAGCGACTGTGGCTACGGTCCTCTGCATATAGAGCGCCCATCAGGGAACCAATTGATGTTCCGCCAATTAGGTCTACGGGGATGCCAGCTTCGCATAGTGCACGCATTATACCCACTTGAGAACAACCCCTGGTTAGAAGGGTGGGAGAAACAAACATGGAAAGTCAAAAATTTAACAAAGAAAAGACTGACATAAATAACCAGCATCATTAGGAGCTGATGTTGTATAATGTTGTCTTTAAAATTATGATGAGAAACAAGCATGTGACAAACATTACCTGGCCCCTCCTCCTCCCAGGACAAGAGCAATAGCATTGCCTGTAAGAACACGAGCCAGGCGGGAAAAGTCAGAATGGCGATCTGCTGGTTTCTCAAACACACGCTGATACAGCTCCAACTGCAAAAAAAGCAAAGTACTGCTAAAAGAAGATGACGAAACAAGTGGAATAAGAATTAATGTACTGATGTTGAAAGACAGGAAATAAGAAAAACTACGAAATGCCAAGCTGAGGGAGGATCTGAAAGGAGGGAGGGGGAAAAAAAAAAAAAAGGGGGGGGGGCTTTTATACACCCAGCACATTCTGGCCAGGTCTTCCATTCTCACCAGTTTGGGCTGGCTTCGTTTGGAGAAGACCCTTCGGGGACAGGCAAGGTGGAGGTGTCTGGAAATCCAGCTTCGCATGTTGAGCCAGTCTACGGTTCCTTTGGGTGCAGGACCATCTTCTCTGTGCAACAGAACAAGCTGCTTCTGCGCACGCACTGCACTTCCTTCCAACATACGCTCCAACTACAGAGAAAGCAGCACAGATATTTTTGAACATTTCATGAACTATAGGAGTATGTTATCAGCTTTCATCTCTCTAACACACACACAAAAAAAAAAAGCAGCTTATTGCTTTTGAGATTCTTTTCCACATGAACCGTTTACCTGCATGAAGTCAAGATTTGTCCAAGTCATTTCTGAACAAAATAGAAACCAGAAAGCTTCCAGTACCAAACTTGCCAATTTCATACAAAACTGTTTTTAATGAACTGCAGAATCTTTGTTAACAGAGTTATTTACCCTGCAGGTGGTGCATCTCACCACACTGCCGCTTTCAGGTATTTTTCTGATTTGCTGGCAGAGGTGAAAAGAAGCCACATTCACAATAATTTGTGAATGTGGCTTCACAGTAATTTGGGGGTGTCTTTGCATGATTTGAAAGTGTAGCTCTAACAGCTCCTAGTAATACACCTCTCTCTTCTCCTGGGAACCAGTGAACACCTCACCTCCCCTACAGTAGGGTCCTGCTCTCCTAGTCCCACAATAATGATGCAGTCAGCCTGACGGATGCACCTCTGTGTCCACGGGGTCAGTGTGTAGTCAGTCTGGTAAAGAACTATGCGATGGATGTCTTCTTGTTGGCCCAGCCAGCTGGACAGACGGTACTCATGAACACTAAAGAGGAAAGGAGTCCATTAATGACAGGCAGCATTGCTTTGCTGGCAGCATCCAAGACATCCATTTTCCTCTTGTGCCAATAGAGCAAACGTTAGCAGAATTTAATGAGCGTGAAAGACAAAGCACAAAGAAAATAAAAACCAACAGACAGCAGTAAGACACCGAAAATGACTCATTTTATTTGAGGTTTGAATAAGAGAAGATGGACCTGCAAAATTGCATAAAATGTTTGAATCTGGCACAAAACATACCTGTCAAGTGCAGCAGCTCCAAGACGCTGTTTGATAATACCACTTGTCAGTAGAAGAGTGGGACCTTTATGTGAGAGATGATAGATTACACTGATGAATGTCTACTTCAAGGAGGTGTTACGTCCAGGTTAAAGACAGATGAAAAGTGATTTGATTTTGATTCAATTACAGTTCAAATTAGGATGCAAATAGGAATCCAGAATTCTTAAGGGGAGAGCATTTCCATCATGGCAGCCCCTCTAATCATGCCTCCATGTCCTCGATAAGAAGTTTTGGAAAATGACAACAGACTGAGTGAAGAGCAGCAGTAGGCGGGTCATATGTTTAAAATAAACAATCATCCATGACCTGGAGCGGTTTTTTGTGTGTCGAGAACAGCAGTGAATGATTATAAGCCAAATTTGAGCTTCCATATCTCTTTCCATTCTTACCTATTGCAAGGAGTGCATGCTGCAGCTCTAGAGTAAAGGCAGTAAGAGGCACCTCTTCTGATACTGGCAGGACTGCCACAGTGGAGAGGTTGGAGGCTTGGTTTCCTGCATCCCACTTACTTCCTGGTGTGTGCAGGGCCAAACTGCGAGCTGGAGATGTGTTACAGATTTGCAAATGGTGAAAAAACAGATTTAATACCAGAAATGATGGGAGAACCTAACCAATTAAAACACGTGTAGACCATGCATATGTTCAATCCAAAGTTTGTTTGTTTTTTTCCCAGCCCCTACATGAAGGACTTTCTGAGAGGTTTTTAGCAAGAGCCAAAGAAAAATTACAAACAGTATCAAAACATTTTCAGTTTATTATAATTAAACACAAGATATTTGTTTATCCATTAACAAACAGATGTGCCACACAATCACTGCCTTTATGGTACGTCAACAAAAACTGCCAGTATGTCTGAGCCAGGAAAGAGCCTGCAAAATAGGCAACATAGCACACAGATGTACACACCTGTCAGAGGACCATTGACCTGCTGCAGTATCTTCTGTCCGAGTAAGTGGATCAGCCTGGTGACAACCTGAGATGCACATTTTATAATCAGCCCTGTTACTCAGACTCTGCAGTACAAAGTCATTTCCTGACTTTATTTTAAATGTTTACTGTGATGAATTTCAGTGAATGCAACATGTTATTTTTATTAGTTTGATTAAATGTATTAATTATCTGTATTATTTTCATGATTACTTCAAGTCTTTTTTTGTTTAAAGGAAAGGGACGGGTGAGGCAATAGCGCTTGTTCTCTCCAGTAAAAAGGATTACTTTAACAGAATTGTTTTCAAATCAGATGAATTTAACACATTAGATTAGGCCTACCTGAGGGAATTTCCTCTTGATAGAGCAAAGTGCACCTTCTGGTAGCTTGGCCAGCTCAGAGTCTCGTACAGCGTGTACTGTGGTCGCTCTGTTCTGACGGGTCAAGGCCTCCACCTGCACACAGACAAGTCATTAATTACACAAAATCCAAACAAAACCTATCCAGGAATGCAAGTAAATAACTAATTGGACATCTTAATAACAAAAATGCTGATATAATTATTTATAAATAATAGTACAGAATATACCTGGAATTTGCCATTTCTGTATCAATTATTTCATTTAGGGCAGGCACTGTATATTCTGAACAGACATCTGATTGTTTATTTATTTTTAATCGAAGGAGACAAATAAATAAGAATACATCCAAAGCTAAAAGGCTAAAATTAACCTCTACCCCTCATCTAAAACTGACATCTGAGCCATGCTAAATTTGTCTCACAATCCCTATTACAGAAGCTCCAATGACAGCGTCTCTCCTCCAGGTAACAGTAACCATAGGATCCATTAACCCAGGTATTATTAGAAGCATTGAACCAGTCACACCAGCTGACAGAGAGGTGGATGAGTTAAACCAAGTGACTTTGCTTTACACAGGTTGAAAATACCATTTTAGAGTTTAATTTGAGAAAAACTTGGCAGTACTATTAAAATATTTAGAAGATACTTTAGAATCAGATTTGATCATCGTCATCAAATCATGTTTGTGTAAAAATGTATCCCAAAGTCATGCTGCTCCCCCCCCCCCTTTTCCCTTTGATTGTAATATGAAGTGCAATAATTTCAAACAATCCATTTATTATGTTTGTTTTTTTTGTAAATATAAATATAAACATCATGGGACCCAAATCTTTTGACCAGTATTGAAGGTTAACAACACCCACACTCCTCTGGCAGCCTGGCAAATGAATTTGGTGCATGCTTTTTTATGCATATTCCATTTCAGCTGCCTTTTGGATACATTTTTTGGTCTTTTTTTTTCCCCCTTTGTTTAAATATATCCCAAGATGTACTGGTCTTAGTCTGCATTTACTGAAAGTAGAAAGTAGAACATACAGGAAATCCAGTCTCATCAGCCATATGCAGTATACTGACAGCTAATAGGCAGCTCCATTTGTGATATTAACATTGTAATTTTTTATATCTAACCTTTTAACAGGTTCTTATATGAAAACAAACAGCTAGTGTTGTTTGATACAACATGGATATTAATAGTCTTCCATCAACTCTTCCCCAGCTGTCTTCCCTCTGGCTGTCACGGTGCTTACCACTCCAATCAGGTCACCACGTCCGTACTCCCCTATCAACTCTTTCTTGCCATCCTCCTTCATGATTACTGAGCGCAGTCGACCACTCAGCACTATGAAAGTGCTGTCTGATTTCTCTCCCTGCCTGCAAAAAGAAAAGAAAATACAGATAACTTCAGTCTACTGCAAATCTGCAAACAACTCACAATCACATTTCCAAATTCAGCTTCCCCTCCCTCGATTAGTATTTATTAACTTGTCCCGCATGAACCAAGTAATGCCTGTAGTGTTACGAGTTGATTTCACACATGAGACACAAGGTCAGCAGAGGAATACCTGTAAACAGCCCTGCCAGCTTCAACAGCCATCCAGTCAAGAGCAAAGTCTATTTGCCTGACAAAAGATGACATCCTCTTCACCACAGCATGAGCAACATTAAGCACCACTTTGGGCTCCACTCGCATTATCCTAAGGAATAAAGAAGAATCCACAAAAGGACAAAGTAGAAGTAGCCATCTTTGTTTTCCTCTCCAACTCTACAGTGCTGAACATCACAACAGTGTGAGGATGTGTGTCACTCACTTATAAAAATGTGTTTTGGAAATAGAGAGGAAGCTGCAATCTCGCTGAGCTCGAACTGTAAATATGAGGGGCTCTCCGGTCAGAACAGCAAGGTGACCAACAAGCTCTCCGGGATGCGTTACAAACAGGCGCAATTCTTCTTCACGGTCAATCATCCGCTGGTAAACATGGAGGAGGCCAGAAATCACGAAGTGGATGCTCACCTCCTAAAACACCAAGAGGGAATGATTGAGAGAAAATGCTCAGATTTAACAGTCCGACTCTGAATGCTGTTAACAATCAGGTGGTGAAATACTGAATTCATGATTTTTAAGATGAGTAATACCGGTGTTGAGATTCAAATTTTACTGTTGAAAGCATTACAGGCAAGTCATTCCCAGTCATCCCTTAGATTTTTAAATGACTGATTAGTTTGTTTACTTTATAAGCTTAACCTGTTTCCCCTCTTGTGTATGAATCAGGATAGCCTTTAACCATATGATAGTATAAGGGAGCCGCTTTCTAATTCTTCCCACAAGCAAGTTCACATGGACGCAACTTTACATGCACACTAGTTTCCCAGGTCGACCCTCTGCAATGCATGGACACTGTCCAGTAGAGGCATAAATTAATAAAGAGATGAAATGAAGTAAAATATTAAACAGAATGAAAAGTAGCTAGGTTCTAAGTTGCTGTTCCAACCTGATCTCCCTGACGAGCTACCACAGAGCCGGCTTTGACATGGTGGACGGTTACTCTGCCTTCAAGCAGACTAGGGTCCTGCAATAGAAAAAGACACTCTAAATATCCACTTATGATGACAAGACTGTGGATTTAACATTTTCCCCACTTAACATGCCACAAAAATAAATTTAAAAGGGTGCATTGAAAGGATCAGAACACTGACACCAGCTGAATTTTCTCCAATTAACCCCTCACCTGCAGCTGGATGATTCCCAGCAGGTCTTTCTTAGCAGCTTGGAGGATTGCACTGCTTTTACCAAGATAGGTAGCATCAGCGTGCCCTCCGCTGTCTGTATAGTGAAATACTTCAGATGGTGTGTGTTGCATTGTCACACTCTTCTTCAGACTAGACTACAAAGACAGGCACAGGAGAGAAACTACTATGGAGGAAGTAGGTAAGATGCAGCAGATACTGTGCTATTGTGTTACATTTACACACAAGACCTGTCACCACGCTTCAATGTAAAAAGCAGACCTTACTTTGTGAGTGATAGGACTTGATGGAGCCTCCTCAATGGTAACTCGAGCTCGTTCGCAGGCCATGCTCAGGTCATTACCTGTAACTCAGAAAACAAAGGATTAGGATAACGAGTACATCTGTGCAGGAAATTAATACAGCCATGTGGCATTTGATGATCGCTTATGTCCAAGGCAGTGACCCACCTGTGCATTCAGTGGGCATAGAGGTAGATCGCAGCTTCCTGGTTGAATGGCTGTCCTTTACACCATCTGTTTAATACAAAGTCAGTGCCAGCACTGGATCAGTTTCAATACAAGACAAAGCTGAAACTGAACGGCATGTAGTGCATGTTTGTGTGTGTGCTTGACCTGTCTCTGCAGTGTTTTCAGTGGTTCCGGCAGGTGATTCGTCCTGGAAGTGGAGACGTCGAGTCATCTTTCCAGTATTTGCTTCTGCCATCACATTGTTTATATTGGTCAAGGGCACTGCTTGACTCTCCTGTCGGTCAA